AATATATACTTACTCCCACTGAACATGTGGTATACACAATCATCAACCACATTCATCTCAAAACCAAACGAGATGATTATTTGATGAAATTTGTGATACCATTGATGGGAAGCTTGCTTATGTTTATAGATGGATTTCTTTAATTTGCAAACCATTTTCTTTAAGTCTCCTGACATAAAGTTATCCGGTTCTACTATAGATATCGTCTCATCAATGTCACCATTAAGAAACGTCGTCTTTACATCCATCTGATGTAGCTCAAGGTTAAAATATGCCACAAGTGCCATTATAATCTTGAAAGAGTCTTTCGTTAAAAGTGGAGAGAAAGTTTCTTTGTAATCGATGTCTTCTCTTTGAATAAAGTCATTTGCAACAAGACAAGCCTAATATCTTTCCACATTACCCTTCAAGTCCCTCTTAATTTTATATATTCATTTGCAACCAACGAGTTTAGTACCTTCGGCAGTAGGACAAGTTCCCAAACTTCATTATCTTTCATGGACTTTATTTCCTCATCCATAGCATCAATCTGCTTTTGAGAGTTATTACTTTTCATTGCTTGATGAAAGTTGATAGGATCTTATTCTATCAATCCAATGCTATCCTTATGTTCTTGAAGAAATACTATAAAGTCAACCGTAATTACATTTCTCATTTCTCTAGTGGATCTCCTTAATAGCATTTGCTCTTGAGGTTGTTGAGTTTGTTCTTCTGGAACAATCTCTTGATTGTTTATAGGGAGTTCTGGAATATTGTCTCGATCCAAAATTGCTTCTTGAATAAGATCTGGAGCAAGAATTTGTCCCTGGTCCTGATCGTTATCAATTGCAATAGGAGGGATGTTTATACGTTCCTCCTCAAAGATAAAATTCCTACCTTTATCTTCCCCCACAAACTCTACATCCTCAAAGAACCGAGCATTTCCCATTTCAAAAATTGATTTAGTAGTGGGATCATAAAATTTGTAACCCATTGACCTTTCAGAGTATCCACTGAAATAACAACTAACAGTTCTGGAATCCAGTTTCTTTTCCGATGGCCTATAAGGTCTTGTCTCAACTGGACACCCCAAATGTGTAAGTGCTTCAACTAGGCTTTTTGCTTGTCCGAAGCTCATAAATGGGTTTGATAGTTGTTTTGCTTGGAACTCTATTAAAAATATAAGCTGCAGTTTTTAATACTTCTCTCTAGAAAGATTCTGGTAAGGTGGAATGACTAATCATACTCCTTACCATGTCCTTAAGTGTTCTGATTCGTCTTTCAGTAACAACATACATGCTAGGAGAACCTAACATGGTGTACTGTAGGACAATTCCACATTCCTCTAGGAATTTAGCAAAAGGCCCCGGACTTTG